CACTGAGTTGCCGCCATGTGATTGGCTGATTAGAAATTAAGTGTTAACGAGCAGTTGGACAGGTGTACCTAATAAAGTGGCCGGTGAGTGTATGATGCTGTTATAAAATGAAAATGTGAAAACTATGTCAATATAAGAGTTAAGGAATTCCCAACAGATGTTCAGTTTGTTATTTTACAGATAATATTACTGATTATATGACGTCCAGAGACCAGAAACTATCTGCACTTCCACAACAGTCAGTTCTACGTCTCTATGTCTTTCCACATGCAGTACCACAAACTGACCTTACATTATTATTACAGATTTCAATGACAGGTATTCATAATGAACAGTTTTATTTGCTTGTTAATATTTACTTTCGTGAACAAAAAAATGTACTTATAAAAACCCAAAATGGGAAATATAGACTATAACAAGCACGATTACAAACTACACCTAATGTAGTGTTGCCGAGTTATTCTTTTATTAGATTTTCCATTAGTTTTAATAAATGTGGTTTTGGTCTGAGAGAAAACTGGAGAAAACCCACTAATGCACTGAAAGAACATGTAAATAAACCCAGAAAGTTGATGAAGCAACCTTCTTCTTTAGAGGCAACATGTTGCTCTACCAACTGTGCCACTGTGCTGCCTGGTTGTATACGTATTACACAATTATTTTAATTATTTAATTAAAATATATCTATGAATACAACCTCCAATCTTCATTTGAGAACACTGGTTTCAGACTGGTTGTCCTTATTCAGAGGAGCTATATATATTTATTTTATTTTAAATAAATATAAATTAATGTTAAAAAACAATGTTTGTTTTATATTTATGAGGTTCTATTATACTGAAATAGCTAGGGGAATTAAAAAAGGTAAAATCAGGTACTCAAGAGGATAAAACTGGGGTGGCATCGATGTGGTCAGCAAGGTTTTAGGGGGTCCGTGTTTTCCTCATTGTGAAGGACTGGAACCAATGAGCTCTGACCCAGAACCCAAAGACACTGCAGGTCCTTCTGTGCAAAGCTTTGAAGGAGTTTTCTTCTCAGAGTTATTTCTGGGATATTTTGTGTTCAAGTCTTGATTTTTCTGTCAAAATGTACATTTTGACCTCAACTCAAATTTAATGTTGAAACAAAGTAAGAAAAACTTCCTCCTCAGCTTTGATTTTTCCTCTGAATGATCCTGAAGCTCCTGTGGACCGAGCAGGACCTGCAGCTGAGAACCACAGACTGACCCATCAGTTTCACATGACTAATGTGACACGTTGTTGTTATTATTATAGCTGTTGTTATTATTATTGATTTTATTATTATTATTATTATTATTATTGTTATTTTTATTGTTATTATTATTATTATTATTATTGTTGTTGTTGTTGTTATTATTATTGTTATTGTTGTTGTTGTTGTTGTTGTTGTTGTTGTTGTTGTTTAGGGAAGTATTAGAACAGGGACAGTTCTGAGCACAAAGCCCCCTGAAGGTCTGGGTCTGGAACCGGTCCTGGACAGAGGTGCCTCAGAGTCCACCTGATGTCTCTGAAGACCCCGACATGAACAGGTTCTGGTCTCTGAAGGTCTCTGGACTTTTATCATTAAAATAAAAGGACGGGTTCTGATTGGACCTGGTACCTACCCACTCTGAGCTCCCTCCCGAACACGGTCCTCTCCCCCAGGGCCGAGCAGTTCCAGCGGCCGTGTCGGAACTGGAACCCGCACTCACTGATGCCCATCTGGACCCCCTCCCCGACCACGATGATGGCGTCGGGCCGGCTCTGACAGATGGTCCTCTGTCGGGGGGCCAGACCCGGGATTTTATTACAAATGATGCTGGCTCCCAGCGCGACCACCGAGGACAGACCCCTGCAGGAGGGGGGACAGGTTAGACCGGGTCAGGCCCGGACTCTGACGGGGTTCGGGTAATAAATAGAGCCAACAGGTCCGGACTTACCCGGTCCTCAGATACAGGACCCCCAGGCAGAGGAAGAAGTGGCAGACCCAGCGCCGGGTCTTCCTGCTCATGGTGGATCTTCAGGACCTCCAGGTGTTCCGAGCTGCGGATCCGAACTGGGTCCAAAGTTCTGATTTCATCTGATGAGGGTCCGGCGGGAGCCTGTGGGGGGGACATGGGCGCAGCTGGTCCGGGTCCGGGTCCGGGCTGGATCCGGACGGCTCTGCTCCTGCAGGGCGGGGGTCCTACCTTTTCTACCAGGGCGTGTTCTGAAGGATCTGCCCCCCGAACCGAACCGAGCCGAGCCGAGCCGAGCCGCGCGCTCACTGCGAGGGTCCTGGGTGGTCCCAGTTCAACATGTCCGTCACAGCTAAAACTAACAGTTTGAATAAAAACCAAACTGTTACTGAGCACGAGGAGGAACCACCTGAGCGCGCGCCTCTCCTCACCTGCTTCACTTTGAACAGGTGTGTTCAGTGAGGACCACCAGGTGAGGACCACCAGGTCCACACTTTATCGGTTTTACATCTTTTCTTCACCTCATTAAAACTCACCAGAGCTTCCTGAGATATTTTACTAACAGACCTGAAGAGAAACATCAGGTTGTCAGAAGAAGCTGAGCTCCTGGAAACTTCAGAATAAAGTTCAGGTCAGAGGCTCACTGATGGAAACATAAACACATTTCAGTTAAACAGTATGGACTAAATTATATAAAGAAAAGAAATCAAAAAGGGGGAGGGGTTGATTTACTGAGTAACTGAAATAAATTGTAAAAAAAAAAAAGATTAAATACAGTTGTTGATAATGTATGGAAATAAAAACAATAGAGATATTAAATATGAATAATATATCATGTTTCACCAGGTTTGAATATTTTTGATAAAATCATGGAGTTCTTTGAAATGAGTTTTTATAAAACCTTTGTGTGTGTGTGTGTGTGGGGGGGGGTATTATTAGGGCTGTGTATTGGCAAGAATTTGGCGATACATATCATGACAGAGGGGTCACAATACGATATATCCCGATATATTGCGATACTATAAGCAAGGCGATATATTGCAAATTTTTTTTGTCCAAAAATTATGTTAAATAAAAACCTCTTACTGGGAAAAAAAGAAAAACCAAAATTCATTGTCTCAGAAAATTCTAATATTACATAGACATACTTTTGATACATTTAGCTGTGTTCTGCCTTGTATGTGTTTTATTTTATTTGTTTCATATTTCTTATTTCATCCATGTTTTCAATTATTAGACTAAATTGACAATAAATAGTTTGAAAATATATATTTTTGCAGCTTTTAGTTTTTAATATTAATTTACAATATGGTCACCAAACACGTAACAATGGCCTCTACCTCAACAGGTAGAGGAGCCAAATGGCTGGCTCACTGCTGCCAACTAGTGGTCAGAGGCTGAACTACAACATAAAAATGAACGGCTGGCAGGAAAGTTGACATTTTAAACCTTAATAAAAAAATCGATACAGGGCTTTAGAATATCGATACGGTATCGAGAAATGAAATATCGCGATATTTCAGTGTATCGATATTTTCTTACACCCCTAGTTATTATTGATGTTGGAAATCAAACTGACTCAAATAATATCAGTATTTTTATAAACTCTATAATTTAATATATAATCTAATAATATAATCTAATAATATAATCTATATTTTGAGTTTTTATCTATTAATTTCTAAACCAACAAGAATCTCAACTCATAACAGTAATTATCATATTTTACAGGTTATGAGGCTCATTAGCTTTAAACAGTGGATGAAACGTTGAGTTGTTACAGTCTGAAGTCTGTTCTTCAACACAAGGAATAAACTGTGGAAAAACCTTTAGATTTGTGTTTACATCAGTTTGTGTGTTTAGGAGAAAGATAAAGGTTAGATTGTTGAAGAAAATTTATATGAACTGTTGTTCAGGAAAGACCTGACTTTGTTTTTCTGTATAGTATTATTATTTTCATTTATTTTTGTGGAAAAAATGGACAAATAAAATATATATTTTTCATTTTTATGATTCCATTCATTTCATTTATGATTTTTTTGTATTTTTTAAGAGATTTTTTTATTTTATCTTTTAATGAATGAATTATAAAAAGCTACTAAGGGTTGACTTTGTTTGGTTTACCAACAGACCTGCACAGAACGACGATCAAACCTGCTGCTTCATAAAGAAACAGGGATAAAAACTGGTTCTGGGAATAAAAACTGGCCTTATTCTAACAATTTCATTTTGGTTAGTGACTTTTATCCCAACAGTGTGGAGCAGTGTTTCCCAAAGTTGGGGTCGAGACCCAGAGTGGGGTCCTGAAACATCAAGGTGGGGTCCTTAAAATATACTTTTTAATTAATTACACTAAAAACTRACAACCAACAACATTTTTTGCCTTTGTTGTTACACAATAATGAGATTAGTGTAGTTAAAATGGACAAAAATAGCGCAATAAATATTGTTTCTATGCTTTTGTTTATTTGATGTGAAAACATTGTTTATCATCTGGTAACAGCTGGGGACACGGGTCTCTGCTGCTGGTATTTTGTGGGTCAAAAGCTGAAAAGTTTGGGAACCACTGGTGTGGAGTACAGGAGAGATCAACACAAACCAAGTTAGAAGAGAACAAAACGGCTGTAATTATACTGCAGTGTGAAACACAACAAAGTAGGGCTGCAACTAATGACTATTTTGATTAGTTGATTAGTCAGTGATTATCTGTGTTGCACCCTTCTCCTGTTGCAGCTCTAGAATACATGTAATCAGTCAGTCATAGGGAAATCTAATTAAACAACAAATATAGTGGGCTTAAAGACTGGGCTTTCCTGAAAGCAGACAGGAAACACAGACAGGATTCCATGCAACCTTCAGGTGAAAATGAAGACCCCAAACCCAGACCCAAACC